ATTTTTCAGGATGCTTGGAAGACTGTTTATGTTGTGAAGTGTTAATTCTGTGGTTCTTCCAAGCTTTTCTCTAATGAAGTTTATAGTCCTTGGTTTTAGTCCTAGGTAATCAAAGGCAATTCAGTGCAATCCCAATACAAATACTAATTTCATCCTTCAACAAGATGGGAAAGGTAATCTTCAATTTCATTTGGAATGGAAAGAGATCCCCCTAATAAGCAAAGCACTCCTTAAAAAAGAAACAGGGTAGGAAGCATCTCACTCCATGATTTCAAATCCTAATACACAGCCATGGTGGTCAAGACAGCATGGTACTGGTACAATGGCAAACACACATATCAGTGGAATCTAATTGAGAACCTGGAAATCAGCTTATCTACCTATGGTCAACAGATTTTCTACAAGGAGATGAAATCAGTTAAGTGGGAAATGACAGCCTTTTTAACAAATGGTGTTGGCAAAATTGGAAAACTATCTGTAGAAAACTCAAGCAAGATCCACACCTTACTCCATACACAAAAAAGCAACATTTTTTTTTCACTTTAAAGATCAGATTTATTTGGAGAAAACAAAAAACCACAACCCAAAGGAAGGAGATTTTACGTATCAAGATTTATCTCCCAAGTATTAAGTGTACAGATAATAAATCATTTTCATAGAAGATATTTTTGTATAAATTTTACATGTATTCAAGAGTTGGACATAACTCAATCCCTGTTTCTGCTTTAACAAGAGGGCAGAGGAGGGGAATGGGGATGAGCAGCCTTCTGGATACAACTGTTTGGAAGGAGAGTAAACATGAAGAGGGCAACCCTGATCTTCTCATTATCTACAGCAAATAGTAAAAAAAAAAAAATCACCACAAAAAACCACCCCCAAAACCAACAAACAAAACCCCTCTCAATTTGGATATTTCTCTCTAAAAGCCCTCTTCCTAGTTACTAGCTAATCTGTGAAAATTGCTTAAAATTCACTTGGTAGAGCTTTCATGCTCACTGGGTAAAGGATTTATTATGCTTACTACTGCAGCAAATAACCCTGCATGGCCATCCAGGGCCTAACCTAGGACTGTTGGAAGAAGGGTTTGCAAACAAGGAACCAAAGTGTCATTTATCTGCAGGTACCAGGGGAAGGATACCACTTACCAAGCTGACTCGTACAAAGGTTCACATAAAAGCAGGCAAGTTAAACTACTATAAAGCAACAGCATTTTGAAGGTAACTCTGGTAGCCTAGTGGTAAGAAACTGCTCTGAAATTCCAGAGGCACTTGGTTTTAATCCACCAGCCGCTCTGCCAAGGGAAAAGTAGGCAGTCTTCTCGAACCATGTGACTTACTGCCTCTGAAAACCTGCT